CAATTCTTTCTATTTTAGTAGAGACGGGTCTGGCTCTTGCTCAGGCTGGTCTCGAACTCCTGACCTTGAGTGATCCTTCCGCCTTGACCTCCCAGAGTGCTAGGATTACAGGCGTGAGCCACCGCGCCCGGCCACGACTGGGATGTTTTGAAGAGCATCCACCGTCCCAGCTTCTCGTGAGGATTCAGTGCGACAGTGGTGCCCGGCACGGAATATCCGAAGTGCTCCGTAAATATCAGCTGTCATTATTGTTATTATTTATATATTTTTTACCACATTTCATGGAGTCTAAGGGGCAACCCGTGGAAAGAAACATCTGGATGGAAATGTGAGAAGACCTGCGTCTAAGAACCATGACAGACAGTGTGACCAAACCCATGGACTGTCCCACTGTCACATCAGGCCTGAGCGTGCCTCACCGAGCCCGGGCTCCTGGTGGACAGCCCTAGAAGGGATGGAGCCAGGGCCACGAGAGGTGTGCAGGGCCTCAGGCTGTTCAATGGGGGGAGGAGGTGGGGGCACGGGTGGGGCAGTGGCAGAGCGGGGACACCAACCCAGCCCCGCCCTCCCTGTTGGTCACAGCACGTGTTGAGGTAGCAGCAAGCCCAGCCCCAGCGCCCAGGCTGCGGCAGTCCCTGCGACCGGCTGCTCTCGGGCGGGCGCGCCGTTGCACAGGTTGCCGACGCACAGGTGGAGATGAGGCTGTAGGTGACACCCTTGTAGCTGACGGCTCCTCGCGGCCACAGCTGGGTGATTGCACGCAGCCCTTGCTGATGATCGGCCCGGTGCCGGGGCCACCGCGGCCGTTGAAGCAGTCTCGTCGTCGCCACAGTGCATGAGGGTGGCGGGCAGTGCGCGGAGTCGGTGGGCTCACAGAAAAAGCAGTCCTTGAACCCGTGGTGCCAGGGGCAAGATCATCACCAGAAGCAGCAGCCAGCCGAGGACCGGTGGCCTGGCGGCGTGGACGGTGCCCGAGCCAGGCCGTGGGCTTCCTGGACCTCCTGGAACCGCCGAATGAGTGACCCCCCGGGACTGGCCCGCCCGCACGACGCTTGCCCCTCGTTCGGGCCTCCCAGGGTTGGCGCTCAGAACGTCCTCGGTTCCCAAAGCTCTGCGTCCCTCCCTGAGCCCTAGGGACGGAGGTGGCCAGCAGCCGCTGCCCGACAAGGTCCGTGGAGTGGAATGAGGTGACCTCACGATCCCTCGGGTTCCCACTGGCTGCTCGGGGTGAGGTCACAGGCGGGGGGAGGCGTGTCACAATCCGGACTTCCGCCGCCCCCCAGCCAAGGCAAAGATGCTCTGAACACAGTGACCGGCGGCTCGGGCTCCGCGCTCTCCTGCGTGCTGCACCCCCTCCCGCCCAGGGCTTAGCTGCAGCCTCACGCTTTCCATGGCAACCCCATTCTCCCGATGGGCAAACTGAGGCTCGGAAAGGGAGAGCGAGGGTGTCGAGGTCCCTGAGCCAGGGTTTTTTGTGCTTGTTCATAACCCAAAGAGGCTGGGGAGGAAGGAGGATTGTTTACTGAGGCACTTGCCGGATGTATGTGCTAATGATCTATGGCTGATGCTATCAGATGTACCGCCGTGAAAATGGGGACAGGCGGACTGGGCCCCCACATCGCAGCTGCTTAGTCCTGGCCATGTGCAGGGCTCGTTCCCCACTTGCTGTTCTAGTGTTTAGCTCCATCTCACAGCATGAGCAGACTGAAGGTACGGAGCAGGAATGCATAGAACAGCACGTGCGTTAATAAATGGCACTCATTATAGGAAGCAGGCAGGGTCTCTTTTTCCTTTTTTTTTTTTTTGTGCCCAAATCTAAGGACAGCGAGGTTCTTTTTTTTTTTTGAGACGACTCTCAGTCTGTTGCCCAGGCTAGAGTGAGGGCTCGTGGGTCCATCTAGCTGATCACATAACCTCAATTCTCTGGGCTCAAAGTGATCCTCCTGCTCAGTCTCCCGAGTATAGCTGGGATACAGCATGAGCCACCTGCGCTAATTTTTCTATTATAATTTTTAGTGGCCAATTAATTTCTTTCTAGTTATTAGTAGGGATGGGTCTCGCTCTTGTTCAGGCTGGCTCGAATCCTTGACGCTTGAGCGATCTCCCTCCTCCTGCCTCTGCCTCCAGAGTGTAGATAAGGTGTGAAGCCCACCGTGCCAGGCAGGACAGCGAGTTGTTAAGTCATCCCTGTGAGTGTAGGAACTAATCCCAGTCTCTTTCCAGGGAGGAAACTGAGGCAGTGAAGTCCCCAGTGGGGACTGGGCAGAGCCCGGGCTTCGCACCGCGGTTAGCATTCCAGAGATGACATAAGTAGCTTAACTCATGTTGTCCTCCTCAAACCCTCCGGGGGAGGTATCGGTTGTTCCCCTTCACAGAGGGGGAAGTGAGGCCCGAGGAGTCAGGCTTGCCTGAGTCACGCAGGCCGGCCCTGGACCAGCTGGGGCAGGCCAGGCGTCCGGGTCGTGCGAGTCTAATCAGCCAACTAAAAATATATAGAAAAAATTAGCCGGGCATGGTGGCGCATGCCTGTAGTCCCAGCTACTCGGGAGGCTGAGGCAGGAGGATCGCTTAAGCCCAGGAGTTTGAGGTTGCTGTTAGCTAGTGACGCCACGGCACCCTAGCCCAGGCAAAAAATCGAGACTCTGTCTCAAAAAAAAAGAAAAAAAAATCCCAGTCTCGGCACTAGCAGTTTTCAAAGTGGAGTCCTCGGACTGGCAGTATCGGCATCAACAGGGAATTTTCTGGAAATGCAGATTCCTGGGCTCTGTCCCCGGTGGGATGAATGGGGGTGGGGCCCCAGAGCTGTGTTCTAACAAGTCCCCCTGGTGGTTCTAGTGCAAACTGGAGGGTGAGAATCACTGGGTTGTCAGCTATGGTTCTCCGCCGGCCACCTCCACTCTCCAGGGGACGTGTGGCCATGTCCGGAGACTTTCTCGGTTGTCATAACTGGCAGGAGGGTTGAGGCTGAAGATTCGGCTCAGCGTCCTACCGTGCACACAACAGCCCCCCAAAACAGAACTCTCCAGTCCAAAATAGGTCCGCTACCTCTGTTGGGAAACCTTGTTCTAGAGGCACTAACCAAATCAGCCCGCTCTGTAGAGGGGGAAACTGAGGCACAGAGAGGTGAAGTGCATTGCCCGAAGTCACACAGCTAGTAACTGGCAGGGCCAGGATCTGAGTCCACGCCCCGCCTCACCCCGCCACCGCGCTGTGACCCTGTGAGGTAGGTGCTGTTGTTACTCGCACTTTCTAGACAGGGAAACAGTCTGAGAATGGGGGAAGCACCCCAAAGCAAAGCGTTTGGGGTCAGTGGAACCCCGAAGAAAGGAAAGGAGGGACGTGAGCCCATCTGTGGGCCGGGTCATCTGACAGTGGCTCTTCCTCTGTCACAGACACTCAGAGAGTGAAGTTACTGACCCAAGCAGAGCTCAGGCTCCAATCCGGGTCCTCCTGGTTTTGAACCCCTAGCCCCCGAACTGCGGGCCCAGTTTCCCAGATGAGGAAACACAAGGTCAGAGAGGAAAAGCCACCTACCAAAGCCACTGCAGGCCAGCAGCAGGGCCGGCGCGGGCACCAGCCCCAAGCCTGCCCTGCCCCACGCTACCTGCTCTCTAGGGAAGGGTGATTGGGACCCATTTTACAGATGAGGAAAGAGAGGCCGGGAAAGGGGATGCTCGCTGTTCTCTCGCACACTGGGGGCACGCTGGGTACAGAACATCAGGAGGCGTGGCGGGGGTGCGGAGGCCATACCTGTAGGATCCTGAGATGACCCTGTCACCGTCAAGCAGCACGAACTTCTCCCGCACGTTGCCGCTCACCTGCCGTCGCCAGCGACTCTGGAAGCTGCAGCCCCGCACGACGCGGATGTCCAGGTTCTAGCGGGGCGTGGGGGACGGGGAAGGCACACCCTCGCTCAGGGGTCCCTCCAGGCTGGCTTTACCTGGGCGACCCATGACTCCGTAGCAGTGTCTGTCCCAGTTTCCCCAGATCCTCAGGCGTTTCTTAGAGATACCCGAAGCTCTCTGGCTCAAGACCCCGTGGGGATGTCCACCCCTCGGGCACGGACATCAGGGGCCATCCCAGCTGGGATCCACCTCGGTGGCCCTGGCCCCCCCTGGAGGAGCCCGTCCCTGCTACCCCCAGGCCAAGGGAATGGGGACTCATGGGTCCCTCTGGCCTGGCCCCTACCTCTGTGGCCCAGGGGTTCAGCCCCAGCTGCTGGGCCAGTGCCAGGAAGGCGGGCAGCCGCTGGCGGTCCAGGAGCAGGTAGACAGGGACCCAGCGGCGCGTGGCGGCAGCCACCAAGTCCCAAAGCAGGTCTGGGTCAGTGAAGGCATCCATGACTACGGCCACCAGCTGGGGGTGGGGAGAGGGGATGTGGGCATGCAGATGGAACCTTGGGTTTGGGGATAGTCAAGGGGTCTGGGGGGGCTGACACTGGGGACGGGGGGCTGGGGGCCTGACATTGGGGACAGGGGTGTGGTGCTCTCGGGGCCGGGAGCTTAAGGGCCCGGCCTCCGCGGGATGCTCAGGGGGGCTGAAGGGGACACGGTGCCTGCGCGAGTGAGGAAAAGGCGGCCCCTCCTGCAGCCCCCCAGCCCCTAACTGCTGGAAAACCGTCATTGTGACTCATGTCTACAACAGGGAATGGTGTCCCTTGATCTGTGACGTTACGGTACCCCAACGTCCACGGCTCCAGGGTCAGTGGCTGGATGCCCTTGCAGGGCACTGTGGGTAGGTGACTGCACTTCCGGGGCCTTGGGAGTGTCCCGGGTGCTGGGGGTGGGAGGGGTGACCTGCCAGGCCACTGAGGTGAGCTTTGGGGACCCGGAAGTACTGAGAACCTGGATCTTGCAGGCAGAATAAAGTAGTGGTAACAAATCCTGACTCACCAGCCAGATGGCCTGGGTTCAAATCCCCACTCGGCCACTTACAAGCAATACATTTCACCATGCCTTGCCTCAGTTTCTCTATCTCCTCAATGGCATCACTGCCCTGCCCTTCCAGGGCTCTCCGAAGACTACGCACATCAACAGGGACACTGAGACTGGGAGGGACAGAGCCATGGCTGCAGGGGACACCTGCACCACCCCCCTGGGGGGCTGGCGAGCCCGGCCTGGTGCTGCGGGATGGGGTGGGTGACTGGCGCTGGGGGGTCACGGTTAGGTTCAAGGGCATGGCTGGCTAAGGGCACCAGGTCTTGGGGAGCGGGTAGGGGCGCCCAGACCTGCGAGGGGAGGACGAGGTCTGGGAGTGTGGACTCCCGGGTTACAGGTCATGGGGGACGTGGACTGAGGGTACTTGTAAGTCCCGGGAGACAAGGGAGAGGCGCCTGGGACCCGGTCCCGGGAGCTGGCACGTGTGGATGTCCAGGTGTGGGGAATGGACGCCCGGCCCGAGGCACCCACCTTGTGGGCGGCCTGGATCTCCCGGCGTACTAGCTCCTTGAGGGGCGGGTGGCCCTCTGCAGGGGGCTGGGTGTACAGCTGTGCCCGGGTGATCCCCTTCCAGGCCGAGTCCTCCGGCCAGCCCAGCCGCAGGACAGGCGCCGGCTGCTCCGACTGCCCGGGCCAGTAGGTCAGGCTGCCCACATCCTCCTCGGTGGCAGCGGCTCCCTCTGCTGTCCCGCCGGGCTCCGGCTTGGCTACTGGCCAGTCTTCAGCTGCTGCCGCCAAGCCCTGGGCCTCATCCCTGCTCAGGAAGGGCCACAGCCCCTCGCGCTGCACGCAGGCCTGGAACGCCTCCGTCCCCTCGCTCAGCAGAGCCTCCAGGGCCAGCCGCTGGCCCTCGGAGTACAGGAAGCCGGGGCTGGCCTCGGTCAGGGGCAGCACCCCAGCCCCGGACTCCTCTCCGTCCAGCGCTGCCAGCTGGGAGGCTGCCATTGGAGCCACTTGGGTAGGAGGACTGTCACAGGCTGGGTCCCTGAGGGTCTGGCTGTCTTTGGGGGACTGACCATCTGGGGGTCTCCTAAGAGGCAGATTCTACGAGGCCATCAGGGGCCTCCAGGGTGGCCCCACAGAAGTCCAAATGGTTCCCTGTGGCTGTCCCTGGCTCACTGTCCTGACAATCAGACTGCCCAAAGGACTGACCGCTTGATCCCTCAGGCTGCTCAAACCAACTACCTGCCCGCCCGCAGCTAACACCATGCCTGGCTGGCGTCCCTCACCTTCCTGCCAGCTGTCCCTGCTGGTCAGGCTGACCCCCTGACACCATCTCCAACCGTGTGACCCATTAACAGGGCATCTCTGCTCAGTCACACAACAACTTCCAGCCTACTGGTCACACAATGCCCCTAGGGACCTTTAGCTGTCCTGAACTTGGCCAGGCTGGCCACCCACCTGCCCTGGCTGACTGCTCACTTTCAGGCCACTGACTGTGCCTGTCTCCACTCAAATGTCCCTAACTGAAGAAGGCTGCCTGTTTGTCCCTGGTCAACAGCAAGACCAACTCTTCCACTGTCTGGAAAACACCGATGGCTTTTGACTGACAATCTCAGGATCTGACAGCTGTCTCCACCTGAATCTGTCTATTTGGGGGCCAGCCAGCCGCAGGCTCAGCACCTCTCACCAGCAGACTCTCTGGGACGGGTCCCCATGGTGCCTGTTCACAGCCTTGGAGGAACAAGCTCCAGCCTGAAGCCTCGAACCCTCCCCTGCCCTGCCCCGTCAATCAGGAACGCTGCTCCCCACACCCTCCCCCTTCTGAGGCCGCTGCAGTGGAGGGTGACATGCTCTATGGGGGTTTTCATCACTACGGAAGTGGCACATGATCTCCACAGCCCATCTTGGTTTGAGGGCACCAGGCAGGCACTGTTCCCCAGATGGCCGCCGCCCCTGCCTGTGTCCCAGCCCTTGGAGCCGTTTTGGGCTGTCCTCTGATCCGAGCCCAGCCCTGGCCACGCTGACCCCAGCCTGGATTTCTGCCTAAACTGTACCTGCTGCCAGCTGCCCAGCCACTTTTTGGACAGGGGCCACTGTATATCCCGTCCTGCCTGCCTCCCAAGCCTTTGCCAAGGCTCCCGACGCAACCTCGGGACTCAAACCGGCAGCTCCTCCTTCCAATCCGAGCAACCCAGGCGCTCCTTCCTCCCGGCCACGCGAGGAGCCCTGCAAAGAGAGGGAAGTAGAGCCAGGCCGGCCACCACACACCCCATCCGTGTACCCGCTGCTCCCTGTGCCTCCATCCCCATCCTTGCTTCTCTTGCCTTTCCAGGGGTGAATACCAGGCACTGGAAACCTCTTGCTGTTACTTCTGTGGCTCTTCCGGCCCTCTTGCCTCATTCGCCCTCTCTTCTCATTCATTGTGCTGCCTGCCCGGGATCGGGAACTCAGCCCCTTGTGTAAACACAGGAGGGCCCGGAGGAGCGACCAACTCAGGTCTACTGGGAGGCCAGGGCGCGGCTCCAGGAACACACATCCACTGGGCACTGGCCCAAGGGCCTACTGCCCGCCCCCTCTACACTTCCCTGTCCAAGCCCTGCATGCCCTCCCCAGCGACAGGGAAGGGTAGCAGGTCCTTTAATAGGGGGCGGGGCAGGATTGATCCTAGAAGGAAGCAGGTGTGGGAACACCTGACACCTGGCTCTTAGGAGGAGGCAGGGCTCTGGGCTCAGGGCCCAGCAAGGGGCCAACAGGTGTGGTGAGGTCCAGACGCTGTGTAAATGCAGAGGCCGCCAGGGGGCGCTTTCAGGCTGGGCCCCACACATGGGGCTGCTGCTCCCAGAGTCCAGTCTTCACTGGCCACCGGCACAGCTGGCAGTCCCCAATTCCCCCACCCATTGCCCCAAAACACACAGAAGGCCATTGGCATCCAAAATCTTTTTAATAAGAGTGGGATCCAGGGTTAGTTTTTGTAGCCTCGGCTGGCCCGCCGGCCTCTGGCGCGCTCGAACTTCCGGCCCTTGGAGCGGACATAGGGTCTGTGGGGAAGAGAGAGGGTGCCCGTCACACAGATGAAGACAGGGTGGCAGGCAGGACTCAGCAGGGACGCCTGCGCTAAGGAAGCAGCACAGGGCGCCTTGCTCAGCCCGAGAAGGCCGTCAGCTGCTGCAAAAGCCTGGCAGTGGGCCGGGCGCAGTGGCTCACGCCTGTGATCTTAGCATTCTGGGAGGCCGAGGCAGGCCCCCTCCCCTCGGGCTTGCAGCCTTCCCTGCTGGGGGACCAGGGGAGCAGTTCCTGGCCACGTCTCCCTCACCCTCAGGGGAGGCTGCCTCCAGTATCCACTTAGCCTATGGGGGGAACCTGGCGTGGGGGGGGCACGGCTCACAGAGGCTGCCCCAGGCCGAGTCCACCAGCTTCCCCGCGCCGGCTCTGCCTCCACCCTCCAGCAGCGCCACTGTCAGCCATGGAAGCCGAGGCTGGAGCAGAGAAAAGGTCGCCTGCCCAGGGGCCCCCCAGAGAACTGGAACAGGCTCGGGCCTGAACCCTTCATCCTACAGCTGGGGGATGGGGTCGGGGTCCCTCTGAGCTCTCCTCCTAATCCTTCCCTCTCCGCACCCATGGACTCAAATCGGGGGAAGCGGGGAGCAAGCAG